GTCCGATATGTGGCGGCGGACTGGGTCGTCGAGAGCGTGGGCGCCGGCAGGAGGTTGCCGGAGGCGCGGTTCGAGGCGGTGCGGTTGGCGCCGAAGGGGGTGGGCGGGATCGCGGGCATGTTTGCTGCGGCGACGGGGAAGAGGACTTAGATGCTGGCTCTCTTTTTGGTTGGCTGTTTGGGGGGGTTTTTTTTCTTTTCTTCTCTTTTGGGGTTTTGGTGGTTGATGGATTATGATTATGAACTCTTCTTCTTTCCTCTCTGCTTTGTCCGTTTTGGTACATATTGCAACGTGAAGTTGGCACGTGGTGACTTTCTTTCATCTTTTTGTTTGGATGGATGAGACAAAGAAAACAAAAGGGACGGAGAGAAAGGGAGAGAGAGAGATTGTATAGGTTACATACGAGTTCAAGCCTTTTTGTTTTCAGAGTATCACTCGCGCCATGCTGGGAATACTTAGGACCTCATCATCCTTCGCTTCCTTCCATATTACAATGTGTCTGTCAGAGAGGCTCCACCCGCGCACTGTGAGAGGTGCGGCCCCATGCCAGCTGCATTTCCATCATTTCAAATTCCGACCCGCCGCCTTCTCCGAGGTGGTCTGTGCAATGTTGAGACCCAGACCTTGAGTGTCGAGGTAGACCTTGTTGTTGCTCTTCTCCAGGATCGTGGCGATGGTGCGGGCGTTCTCGAATTCCCTTAGGTCGACGTATGCGCGGCTCTTCTTGATCGCGTCACCGATCAGCTCGGCGGAACGGGCCTCACCCTGTGCGCGGACCACGGTCGCCTGCTTCTCCTGCCGGGCCTTGTCGACGACGAAGGCCGCCCGCTGCGCCTCCTGCTGGGCGACCTGCTTGGCTTCAACGGCGGCGGTGAATTCGGGGGAGAAGGCGAGATGGGTCAACGAGACGTCGTCCAGGAGGATGTTGAACTTGCTCGCGCGGTCGACGAGTTCATCCCGGACCATCCTCGAGACGTTCTCTCGCTGGGTGATGAGCTGACTGGCGTTGAACTGGGCGACCACGCTCTTCAGGACCTCGTTGACGATGCTGGGCAGCACGCGCTCGTCGTAGTCGGTGCCGAGTGTGCGGTAGATGTGGGGGAGCGCGTCGATCCGGGGACGCGAAAGTACACGGCAGGTGATGTTAACCATCTGCAGATCCTTGGTGCCGGTCAGGGATGCGACGTTGCGCGGTTTCGCGCGGACGTCGTAGTCGACGGGCGTCTCGAACCAGGGGATTTTGATATGTGATCCTTCCGCGAAGATTTCCTTTCCGACACCGCCCATACGGGTGTACTTGATGGCACGATGACCACCCTCGACTGGGAGACGGGTCAGGTTATGATCGGCGCGCTGTCTCTTGGTGTTTGTCATATGCTTACCGTTGAAAATCGCATTGTTGAAAAACCAAACGCCGCCACCGAGTAATAGCAGGCCTCCAAGACCACCGATAGCACCGCGCGGAGTAGGGACACCGCCGCTTCCACCGAACCTGTCTCTCAATCAGTTTCCGTTGCATCTCTCATGGACATGTTCCGCCGCCGCGTTCCTCCTCTCACTGACCTCTGCCCTTGCTGCTGTACTCTTTGCATGTTCCTCTGGAGGTTCTCCCACATTTGCCGAGGGTCCGCCATCTTGTCTGTGGATCGCGCTCGAGGTCGAGAGCGTTGTGATGGTGGCTAGGCTGGATGAGAGTCGTGGATGAGGCGGTTGATGATAAGCTTGGGATATTCCTGAGAGCACTCGTCGTCTAATGTCTAATCCATGATGAGCACTCCAATTGCGGCAAGCTTCTCCATGTGGCGCGGCACGGTCCGCTACCTCCGGATTGCTGGACATGACGCTTCAAAGGATCCTCGAGGTCGGAGATAAATCTTGAGATAATAAATATTGGAGCGCATCCGCCAATAATACTGTAAATTTGTGTGTTTCATGATAGAAATCATATCTACTCTTTCCTGTCGACCTCGGGAGCGTTCAAGCCAGTGTGTCAAATAAGCTGAGCGTCATTACCAATGTATCTGTGGACTAGTGCCTTGGAGCTTCATCAGTAGACTGCGTAGCCTCATGTTCACCGAATAAGGACACGGCAAGTTGGATAGACATGACTACATCAGTATCTATTCCTTGTTGCAGGCGACAAAAGCCATTCGATCCAATCTCTTCACATATGTCATCCAGAGAGCAACGATTCCCGAGTGTGACAGTATGTCATGCAATACTCGACATGGGCAGGCGTGGATGTCGCGATGCATATCGATGACTAGGGTTTGGGTAAGAACATCGTCCCGACCCTAATGTTGCCAAACCTGGGGGCAGGCGGCTGGACAACAACGATCGTCCGTGGATATACATGCATGCGGATATACAAAAAACACCCACCGACCTCCGAGATATTGTCATAACAGCCATGAAATGAACAAACACGACAAGAGATTTGAAAGCAAGATATATCCATGAGGACCATTTCCAGAATCAGCCCACAGCGGGCACGGTGCAAGACATTCTCCGAGTCAATCGTCCGAAGATCACACAGCAATCTCCCACGACGAGACCTCCTCATCAAGAACGATCCGCCCCGAAACAGGTCATTCTCCAGCACCAAGAGCTCCCCAAACTCTTCCTCGAAGACGATGCGAATCCAAAGATCCCTCCCGGCACACTTCGTCCGCGGCGGGACGTCCAACGGCCTGATGCTGCACCGCAGGGACCTCCCCTCCTCGCCGCGCGACTGGCAGCCCGTCCTCGCGGCGGCGATGGGGTCCCCGGACCACTACGGACGGCAGCTCGACGGGATGGGCTCGGGGGTGTCCTCGACGAGCAAGGTGTGCGTGGTGGAGAGATCCCGCCGGCCCGATGCCGATCTGGACTACACCTTCGTGCAGGTGGGCATCCGGGACGGCGCGATGGATGTCGCGGGGAACTGCGGGAACCTCTCGGCGGCGGTGGGGCCGTTTGGGCTGGAGGAGGGGCTTTTGCACGATGTCTACAGGAGGAGGAGGAAGATCAAGAAGGACGCTGCTGTTGTCCATGTTACCGACGAAGGTCATGGCGAGCAGGAGGAGGGGGAGGAGGGGGGAAACTACGAAGTCGACGTGCGCATCTTCAACACCAACACGTCCAAGCTCATCACCGCGACCTTCGCCGTCACCGGAGACGGCGCCTACAACCCTTGCGGGGGTTACAGCATCGACGGGGTCCCCGGCACGGGCTCCCGGATCACGCTGTCCTTCCACGACCCGGCGGGCGCGAAGACGGGGAAAGCCCTCCCGACGGGGAACCCGATCGACAGCGTCGCGCTCGCCGACGGGACCCGCGTCGCCGCCAGCCTGGTCGACATCGCCAACCCGGGCGTGTTCGTGCGCGCGGGCGACCTGGGCGTGCCCGGCGCGATCGACCCGGCCGGGCTCGAGGCGGACGCGGGCCTGATGGCGCGGCTGGAGGCCATCCGGCGCGGAGGCGCCGCCCTGATGGGCCTGGACCCGGCGGTGCAGAGCGTGCCCAAGATCGTCATCGTGTCGACGCCGGATGCACCGCGCGCCCGTGCAGGGGAGACGGAAGAAGCAGGAGGAGGAGCAGGGGGAGGGGGCGTGAACATCGTCTGCAGGGCCCTGTCGATGCAGCAGCCGCACCGGGCGGTGCCCCTGACCCTCGCGCTCAACCTCGGGGCCGCGTGCAAGATCCCCGGCACGATCCCGGCCCTGATGGCGAGGGGCCTCGAGGTGCGCGCGGACGGGAACGTCACGATCGCGCACGCGAGCGGGGAGGTGGAGGTCGGGAGCGTGTTTGAGGGCGGCCGGGTGGTGAGTGCGCTGCTGCATCGCACGGCGAGGGTCTTGATGAAGGGCGAGGTGTTCTACGCCGCTGATGCTGCTGATGCTGGTACTGATGCTCCGAGCACGTGAGTTGTCCCCCCGTGAAGAAAGTCACAGCATAAGCTTTGCTCAAGCAGAACCGAAAAACGTCCTGGCATCCCCCCCAGATCATGGGGATCCGCTATGAGGCCATCGGGGAAAGGGTGGATTTTCCTCCCCAGAACTTCTCGAATAAATCCACGAGTTTTCGTGCCTTGAAGGAAGGAAGAGAAAACGACCAAACCAAAAACATGATCACTCAAAAATAGACGACCCGGAGAGGGAGGGGATGCTCTTCGCGGGATCGATCCTCCCTCCCAGGCGCATGGCGCCAAATCGGGGGCTGTGCGGAATCTTCCATTCCCTGCCGTGGGAAGCTCAACCCGGAAGATTCTTTTTTTATTTTAAAATGGCGTCCTGGGCCATTATCCCATCCCATCCCAAGGCGGGCGGTTCCCTTTCTCGTCCTGTGTGGATTCGGGCACGCGCAGGGATTGGCCTTGCCAGCTGCACACGCGAGAACCAGTGGTTTCAGGGATCCCGTCATGGCCATGGAAGGCGAAGAGAGAGAGAGAGAGAGAAAGAGTGCATGGTCGGGCCCCGGGAAAACCGACGTCTCGCGATGGGGGAGGAAAGGCTGCGCCATCAACGCTTTCCGTTGTCGTCGTGGGTCAGGGCATGACGGGAGAGGGTTCCGTGTCGATGGAACAGAGCATGCGTGCGCGCGCGCGGAGACACGATGTGTGTGTTGGCTGGACCCAGTCAGGGAGTGCGTTCTAGGAAGCATACTGGGTGTAATAATTATAGACCGTTCATGAGGAGGAGGACCTGGAATGTCGGCAGATTCATTAGGGCAGACTCGTCTTGGAGATGTTCCGCCCGGGAGATATGGTGAGGGAGAGAGGGAGAGCGCTGATCATTATTTCAGACATGGGGTAGATGGGTACCTAGGTAGGTATCCTTGCATCGGGGATGTGTGTGTGTGTGTGTCTCTCTCTCTCTCTTTCCTGATTGCAACCCTCCAGGGCTGTCATGATGATTGCAATGACAGCAAGTAGTCAGCACATACGATATCCAGATGTGCGCCCATTCTCACCGTTATTACCATCGATGGCGAGAGATGACTGTACATGGGGAAGGGGGGTTAGGGTGGGTTGATGGGACAATCGAGGCCCAGTCTCTCTCTCATATCATCCATCACCACCACCACCCATCCAAAGCTTTTTCCCGCCCTATTCTCATCAAAATCCGGCCGGATTCAGGCACATGCATGTATGCATGCAGGCATCGAGAGAGAGATAGCTGGAGAGAGAGAAAGAGATCCATCATCTGTCTGGCCCGCCGCCAAGCAATAGTCATCGCCCTAGCGCGTCTGCTCATTCAACGTTTTCGCGCGCGTTTTCCACGCGTGTCTCCCGGCCGGCGCGCCGCCGCCGCCGCCGCCGCCCACCACCACCACCAGCATCGCCATCGCTTTCCTCCCCTTGCGCGGGCGGGCGCGCGCGGAGATACGAGGGCGTAATTTCGCTTCACGGGGCCAATCTTACGGGAAAATTCTTTCGCTCTCTCTTTTTCTTTTCCTTTCTCTCTCTCTCTTCTGAGATGGTAGGCATGAATGTGGATGTGGATGTGTGGATCTGTGTGGCACGTCCCATCCTTTCTTTCTGTCTTCCGCCGATTCTGAGTCATCCAGTAGTGATATGATCGTCATCCTCGTCGTGTCTGGGATTCCATGGTGGATTCCATGGTGTGCACGAATGGGCGCCCGCGGCCCGAAGAAGACGCGAAGACAGAACAAAACGTCATTCGATTATATTATTGGTATTGACCGGGTCGCGCGCTCTGCTGGTGAATTGGGAGGGGAGGGGGTGGGTGTTCGGCGACGCGCGCGCCCAGATGTTTTACGTGGTTTCCACAGGGCAAACAAATGTCAGTGGGAAATGGGAAATGGTACAGCAGCTGGAGCTGGCCTGCAACAGCCGTACAAGACATAATGACAGCGACAAGAGCGTTGACTCGGCAGACACGACAGACATACAGCACACGGCGCGTCCTCACGCGACATCTCCCCTCTGCTTGTTGATGTGCTCCACCACGCACGCACCTCACGCACCTCACGCGGCAGATCCGACCGAGATTTTCGGCCGGCAGTGGGCTTCTGTGCAGCTGCACACTTATGCAGGTACTGTACGGTGGTGCACACACTGCTCCTCCAAAGTTCTCGCACCGCGTGTGAGCGTGTGGTTGCACATCTGGTGGCTTGCATTGAAGCGTGCGTGCGTGTGTGGGTGGGTGCGATCATAATCTCTCCGTGGCGGAATCTCCGGGGCTGGGCAATCCCTTCGGGCAGAACACGCCCAGCAAGCGCCGAACCGGGTAGACAGACTGGCGGCGGCGGCGGCGGCGGCGGCGGTGGTGGTAGATGATTTTCGTGGAGTGGAGGAGGATGAAGATAATCGTATAACACTCGAGATCACCATTTCTTCCGATCGATCGGGACCTCCAGTCCGTCGGTCGTTGATGATGAAGGACATCCACCAGGGGGCACACGACATTGAATGCCATGATGATCAAACCACAGGCGGGAGGAGGGAGGAAGCGATGACCGGAGCCAATACGCCATCCGCGCGCGGACAGGACCCCCCTCCCCATTCACGCCATTGATGAAGCGGAGCCATACATACAATAATATAATAACAATGGATAACACACTCTATTATTGATATTATTGATATCATTATTATTGTCGCAACCGAGAGAGGAAGGAAGGAAGGAAGGAACGGAGAAGGAATGGAATCCAGAAGGCCTGGTGGCGTCGTCGCGAGCCAAACGCGCTGAAATGATCGGGGAGGCGCTTCTAGTTTTCCCCATCGGCCATCACGCCGCCGCCGCCCCGATGATAATAACAATATTAATGGTAATGATGATAACCTTGGAATGATGATGAGCGGACTGTTCAGCCACGAGGCGAGCTTGCCTTTTTTGTTTTCCCCTGGCACAGGACCAAGGGGAAGATTGTTCAGGAGCGGGCTATTTGTGTGACGATGATGATAGTAATGATGGTGATGATGATGATGATAATGAGGGATCGCGAGTGGGTTCTCTCCTGATCCTCCATGCCACAGTACCGATAACCAGTATCAATATCATGCTCATCGCTCATGATGATTGTCTTGGGATGACAATAACAACCATGCGATCGACAAGACATGCCCCGACAAAGGATTGCCTAGGTAATTTGCACCGGGCAATTGCGCAATACGAACAACCGTTTTCTCCTCCCAATCACACACACATACATACACACATACGCTTTTCCCTTCATCACTCCCGCTACTACCTAGAGATGTAAATACGAGTCGAACGGACAGTAGTACATGATAACCGATCTCTGCCTAATGCGTCTATATGTATGTATGTATGTATGTATCAGTTACAGTTGACAGGTCCACCGTTTTCGATCTCCTCCTGCGGTTAATAATAAAATAAAAGATCTCCCTCGGGAAAGAGACAGAGGAAGACATGCGGTCTGTATGCCGATCCATCACAACATGCCAGATAAGAACAATCATCCGTCCGGTACGGCATACACACACATAACAAACAACAACAGCCATCGCGGGCGGGCGTGATGAAACGGGATCATCTCATCAGCCGCGTCGCTTTCTTCTCCCGCCTGCCCGCCCTGTCTATCTCTCTCTCTCTTTACGTCTCTCTGCTCCGTCTGCGGGAGAGCACGTTACAGGACACAACCGTCCGTATCCAGTAACAACAACGACAACCACCGCGATGGGATTCAAACGTCGAGCGGATCCGCGATCGTCGGGAAGATCGTCGGGAAGGTTGTCTTTTCTTCTTCTGTTGTCCCTCTTTTTTTTCCCCGCAGAGAAGCTTTGTCTGTTATTATGACAGCTGTTTTTTCCACCATCATAATTATACTAGGTAATGATCATAATTATAGGGCATGTCAGTCACATTGAGAGGACAGACATCCAACGTCGTCGACGACCCGGCTGCAGACGCCCCGCGGTTATTTCTCGATTATTTATTATTATCGCTGCGGGTTGGGCGTCGACCGTCGCGATGGATCTCGTGAACGATAACGATAATGATAATATTAATTGCAACAATAATGACGATGCGATGTAACGGTATAATAACTATGATGAGATGATATCAGGAAGAATACGGTAGCAATTAATAACAATAAATCACAACGATGATTTGACTCATCATCAGCCGAAAAGAGAGAGAGAGAGAGGAAGAGCGCGGGTGTCTGTCAGTTCCGCTCTGCTGCAACGGTTTTCAGCGGACGGGAAAAGAAGGAAACGCCCTACGTTGTGTGGGTTGGATTATGATTTCCCGTCGCCTGCCTCGCATCGCATTACCTTGCATTGCACCGGCCTCTCTCTCATCACGCGACGGGCGGTGGAACAACAGGGTATGCGCGTGTATATGCATGCGCGTGTGTATACATGAATGTACGGTATGGTATGGGATAATGCACGTATGAGCGTTTCGAGGTGGATGTGAAACGGACGACGCGGGTGCCATCAAACGCGACCTTCCCCATGCCGCCCAAGAAAGCCGCCTCGTTTCCTCATGGAATGATCACCGGCGGCCGGATGTTACCACACTTGTTATCATCGGAAATATAGCCTTGAGGACGATTCGTAGGAGTGAGAGGGATCCTACCTACTTTACTACCTGACTAATCAATCGTTATGTATAGGAGAGATACAAGTAGGAGAGGCGTGAGAGGCCATTGTTGTGTGTGTGTGTATGTATGTGTATGTGAATGGTGCATGGGTGGGTGTGATGGAAGAACAATTGTGTGAGATGATTGATGATAGATGATTGATGATGATGGGATGGGATGGTGGGCGCTAACAATGGGCGGACGTGGCGCATCCAGCCGTGCCGAAGAATAGACCGAGTCGTGTGAGTGAGTCAGTATAGAGGAAACAATAGAATAGGATTGAATAGAAGAGAATAGGGAAAACAAAAGGTGTGGTGGTGTGTGGTGGTGTGTGTGTGTATGGGTGTATGGGTGGGTGCGTGTGGAAACGGGGCGATAGAATGGTGAATTCCAAGGTTGTAGGGTTGTATTCGTTCATTGCTGCCGCTGCAAG